CCTTCCGGACAGCAGGTGCACACGTCTGGCCGAGGGAGCTAGATCGCTGTCCGGCGGCAGATCTAAGGCCCGTCTGCGTTTCCGTGGGGGCGGCCTCATTAGTAAGGCTAGGAGCTGAGCCACAGAGGATCCCCATGGGACGCGCCCTGCCCGGGCTCCCCGGGACCAGGGGGCAGTGCCCAGGTCAGGTAACACCCATAGACGAGACCCCTCCCTCCGCGCGGCGGTGCGTGCGGCGCGTTAGCAGCCGTGCGTGGAGGACCGCTCCGGGCCTGCGGGGGACGGGCCCTTTTAAGGCGGAATGAGGAGGTGGAATTCCTGCTCCGCCTGAGTCCCGCAGCTCAGGGCCTCCCTCGCCAGCACGTGGCTTTCCCGCCCTGCGCGCGAAGAACATTTTCGTGAGAGGCAGGAAAGCGCACCGTTATTACCTTGGACTTTGTTCTGGAGCAAGGCTTCAGAGAACACCCCCATGTTTATATTAGTGAAATGCAGTTTTCAGCCCAAATAACTAAATAGCCACTAAAAGCGACCAGTGCGGTAATTAATGTCATGCACATTAATTGGATGTTGGCAGTTCGGGGTCAAATGCCACAACCTCAGGATGGCCTGAAGGGATGTGTTTCCATCTTTTCATTCGGCCATCTTCTCCCCCATGGATTTTCCTCCCCAGGCTCGTCACCTCACTGTTTCCTAGAGGGACCCCCACAATCCAAGAAACCAGCCCCACACAACAGTATTTAAAACTGGAAGAAGGGGTCCAACTCGGGAAGAACCTTCTCCCCCTGAATACTGTCTGGGAAAAGTGAGCTCCAAGAACACTCCCTTCGTCCCTTCGGTCCTTTCACCCCCTTCTCTCCGCTTTGGGTGGTTTCCTCACAGGGATATGCTTCTCAGAGCTATTTCTCCATACATATCTCTTCTTTCTGGTGTCTGGTAGCTCTAGCCGCATGGACACAGCCCCAGATCCCACCTGCCTCTCCCCCATTCAGTGAGTTTGCTGGGGTTCGCTTGGCTCCGCCTTCCTTGTGGTTCAGTCCCGAAGCTCAACCGGAAGTAAGGGAGGGAAATTATTTGGCCTACCTGTTTTTCCTCCCCTCTCTTGGGGATCAGTATTCTGTGATACCTGATGTCTAATATCTTAACAACTGATACTTCATATATTTTGCTTAGGTTTTTAGTTGTTTTTGATGAGAGGATAAGTCCAGGAATTTTTTAAATGGGTACAAAAATAAGAGGGGTTGGACAATATACTTTAAAAAAGCAAACAGGTGTGCTGGCTAGAAGGAAAGTCCGCCTCTGTTGTAGAAAGAAAAAAAAAAAAAAGCAAACAAGGGTTACATTGAAAGCAACAGCTCACAATTCACTTCTTGTCTTGGTAATAAAAGACTTTCTTATCTTAATTATTTAAAATGTATTAATTAATTTTCTAATTATAATTACCCAAAACATATAGAATAAAAAGAAAATGAAAAGTGAAAATTTTTATTTCCCGGTCAACTCCCCTTGTGATGATCTAGGGGCCACTTGGCGACATCTCATCTCTCCTTTTTGTCTTGGGCATTTCTACAGGCTCCTTGGTAACTGGCATGTAGTCAGCCTGACCTTTCAGGGAGTTTTGATGTTTGCCATATGTTTACTAGCTGTTTTTCTACCTATATATTTAGCAATCACCATATAAGTACTATTTGAGTAATTAGCAACTTTTGGTGATTTTCATCACCAATATTTTAATGACAGCATTTTGGAGAATTCACATAAAGCAGTGTCTCACCCTCCTGAGGGTGTTGTTGTTCACGTGCTGAGTCACATTGATGATTTCCAGTGTCAAATTTTTTTCCAGCAAGTGACACTAGCATTGCCACTTCGCTTTTGTGAGAAAAGTATTTCCTGATACAACAGTTTTCACCTGCCAGCATAGCAGGCAGAAGCAGTGCTATGCCTCTCTCCAAACTTCAGCCTCCTCCCCATCTATATAAGTGGAATAGACTTGTCTAATTCAGGACACTATTAATATGAGATACTAATATTAATATGGATATAACCCTTAAGTTACCAAAGCAGTAGTTGGCATATGGCAGACATTACCAGAAGCTGTGATGCTCTATGGCATTTATTGCTATGATTAATACTGTTGTTGAGATCCAAACCCTTAATGTCATATCAAGACTTTCTCATCTCTTACAAATGGATTTTTTAAAATGCTATCTAATACTTTAGGAAAACATGGAAGGGTTTGGTGCTTGAACTATGCAGTTATTCAACTTCCCTTCCTAGACCACAGACTATGTTCTTTCTTCTACTGGGTAGAATTTTTTAAACCTGCAAGGGAAGCAGTTTTCATAGCCAGCAGAGTGCTAACTCTTGATGTGAGGGATTCTGGGACTCGGCTGCTCATTTCCATATCATGAATATTATAGACATGGTCTCAAATAAATGCCAGTGTACACTTCAGTGATCTCATTTGTTTTTGAGCAGAGGGAAAATATGGCCCCAAATAATGTGCATCTCTGTCTGCCAGGAGCAGTACTTCATGTAAGTTTAAAGGAGATATGTTTGTGGTGCATGGGGGAAGTGGTGGGGAGGTGGGTGGGTTTGAGATCTGGAAGACATGAAAAGAGCCAGAGGTAAAACAGCCAAATATAAACTCATTTCCTTCTTGGTGGGATCCCTGAGTGTGGCTGGATTCTGGCTGATCTTAGGCCTTTCATGTAATCAGGATGCAAGTGGACCCTCATCCAATATGACTAGTGATTTTATAAAGAGGAGAGCTACAGAGGGAAGACGGTCATGTGGGGACAGAAGCAGAGGTTGGAGTGCCGCAGCCATAAGCCAAGGAACATCCAGGCTACCAGATGTGGAAGAGGCAAGAAGGAATCCTCCCCGAGATGCTTTGGGGGAGCACAGCCCTGCTGACACCTTCATTTCAGGATTCTGGCCTCCGGAACTCTGGGAGAAGAAATTTCTGATGTTTTAAGTCTGGTTTGTGGTGCTGTATTCCAGCAGCCCTAGGAAACCAGCACACTATTCTTATGGCAAAGGGGCAGAGCAATGGTGTGGTTAAGAGCAGAGCCCAGGGAGTCAGCTTTCCCAAGTTAAAATCGCAGCTCTACTACTCAGGAGGTACCTCTGACTGTTGCTGGGGGAGTAAACCGAGTGAACATCTGAAGAGAATGCAGACCAGAGCCTGGCCCCAGAAGCACCTCCCAAGTGTTGGATATTTATATGGCCAGTGAAGCCCTTTGCTCCAATTGAGTTGCCCTGATTCCAGCTTGTGACTGAAAGCAACCCATCCTGTTGGTGGTGTTTCCGTGTGCATATTCCTTAGCCTTGCTATTTAATAGAGAGGCACATGCTTTTATTTGCATGGACTGTTGGCATTTCAAATACAGAAGATACAGGCATACAGGTTGCCTGGTTTCAGTTTCCTTTACCCTTTCTCAGCCCTTGGTTTTCCTTTCTTGGACACCTGTAATGGTGGAGAATTTACTACCCTGAAAGAAAGCACATTCCATTTGCTGACAGGCTGACTTCTAAGTTACCTATGTTGAAAATCATTTGGTCCCCTCTGTGTCACTCACTCTTTAGAAGTACAAAGACTCCAAGTTAAAGTGAGTGTAAATTTAAAGACAGCTGTCAGGTCCTCTCCAAGTCTTTCCCCAGCATCCTTCCATTCGTAACCCTCCTCACATGACTGGGTTCCTCTCTGACGATGCTCAGGGCTCTCTCCATCTAAGTGGTGGGGCCTGGATTTGGTCTCCACATGTTGAACACTTTTGGACAAGCGTGGTCTCCTGGAAGTGAGCCCACTCTTTTTCCTTCTCCTTCGACCACCCACTTCACATCTCTGCTTTGTGGAACCACACGCAAGTGTCTCTAAAATGACAGTTCCAAATGTATCCAGTTTATCCAAGCTACTTATTCTTAGTGCTTTCTTACTAGTTGTTTTCTGTTACCACAAGCATACATGAGAACAGGCAACACAGAAGGACAGAGGAAACAGATTTTGATATTGAATGCAGAAGTAAAGGAAACTATGTCTAACATTTGATATTTGGGGAATTACATGATTCAGAAAAGCAATAAAACAATCCTTACATAAAAGGTCATCAGACAGTCTCCATCCCTTCCCTCACACGTAGGCTTTCTGAATAAAATATCAGCAAGATCAGTTTCTGGTTTGCCGACTCTGTGGGTCTCCTAAGTGAGGGCACAGGGATGAGGTCAATGGATAGTTAAACCTGCCTTGCCTGGGATCTTCTCCCCTTGTGATGATCTAGGGGCCACTTGGCGACATCTCATCTCTCCTTTTTGTCTTGGGCATTTCTACAGGCTCCTTGGTAACTGGCATGTAGTCAGCCTGACCTTTCAGGGAGTTTTGATGTTTGCCATATTTGGGAGAGGAGGCCTACGATTTTGCAGGAGATAGCCTTGCTGAGATACAGTGAAAACTATATACTTGGTCTTTGTCCCTGGTACCTGACACAGAGCTCCTAAATCCCATGGAATGTGTGGGTGACAGGAGCCTCTTTTGTTCTGAGTCATCTCTTGATGGGCCCCTAAATTGGGTCAGGAAGGGGACGGGCACCAGAAAGACCAAGGCATGATTAGCGGGAACTTTCAACCCAATCCCCCAACCTCTGGGGAGGAAAGGGGCCACTGATTGAGCTCATCGCCCATTCATTTAATCAATCGTGTATGTAATGGAGCTCTGTAAAAACCCCTAAATGACAGGGTTCAGTTTCCAAGTCAGTGAACAAGGGAGGCACTATCGGACGGTGCATGCAGAGAGGGCACAGGCGCCCTGCATCCTCCCCCATCCCTGGCCCTATGCATCTAGTCTACGACATTGCTCCTGAGTTGTAGCCTTTGTAATAAACTAATAAACACAAAGTGACTTCCAGAGTTCTGCGAGCTGTTCTGCAAAGCACTGAACCTGAGGAGGGGGTCGTGGGAAGCCCCAGTTTATCACCAGCTGACCAGAAGTACAACAGGCCCGGACCTTGTGACTGACGTCCGAAGTGGGGGCAGTCTGTGGCTCTGAGCCCTTAACCTTGGGATCCGACACTGACTCCAGGTAGATAGCATCAGAGGGCTGGAGAGGGGGTGGGCAACGTGCCACTATTCAGTGCCAGGAGGGAAAAAACTTCTCATTTGGTGTCAGGTGTCGTGAGGAAAAGCAGTTTTCTTGGTTGTCAGGATCTTAGTTGTGTCCAGATCCATCCGGGATTTTCTCAGCACTAAGTAAGCAGGAGGTGCTGGTGGTCAGGAGACAGCAGAAGTAGGCAGAGCCTCATCTAGTTCTGGCGCCAGCAGCAGTCTGCCCACTATGACACCAGATTGAATATATACGTAGATAAAAATGCTGTATCTTGATGGAAGGTTAGGCCGAATAATGCAAACCTTTAAAAATGTCTCCACATTGAGCTATTTGAGGATTGTCTGGTTGGGGTCACTACCGGAGGTGAAAGATAGGTTTTCCCTATAGGGAATGGATTTCCTCACTGCCAGTTATCCTGAGAAATGGCTCATTATGTAGAGCAGACAACCTATTTGGCAACACAGGTAAGTGGGCAAGGGTGTGGGTGCTAGAGCCAGCTGGCCTGGGTTCCATCCCTTGCTCAGCCACTAATTAGTGGTTTGACCTTGGGACAGGACAAGTCATTAAACCTCCCAATGTCTCAATTTTCTCATCTGCAAAATGGGAATGATTGAGAAGTTTTAAATAAAAGTTAATATTTTAAAAATATTCACAAGAGTGCTTGGCATGGATCAAATGCTGTGAGTCTGTGTGTTAAGTACCCTGGAGGCAGTGCTGCTTCTAGGCTGGGTGGTTTGGGGTCTGTGGCTGTGATGGAGAGGCCTGGAGAGTCAGGAGCAGCAGTGAGCTGCCAGGATTCACTTAGAAATGAGCCAGATGTCACTCAAGCTCTGTGTCTGCTGGGTCTACACCTAAGCTGATGTTTTAGAATCTCTGCCCAAAATATACGGCCAGTTCAGAGAGAGGAACTCCTTTGTTATTCAGTTGCCTGCCAGGGCACAGCTGTGCACACCTCCCTGCCACATCCCTACCACCACCTGCCGCCCAGCCTCCTGCCTCAGGCTCAAGTCTCAGGCATCTTCCCAAAGTCCATCTGGGTGCAGCTGAGCAGAGGGCTGGCATTGATGGCTTCGGTGACTCACTTTGGAGTCCTCACAGAGATCTTAACACAGGAGCACACTCAGATGTAAACAGGCTCATTGTAAAACTTAGGCACCTTGGCTTCAACTCAATGATGTTAGTGCTCAACACCCTAATGCATGGCTCAGTGACCCATCCCATGTCCTCACACCATGATGGAAGTCAGGTCTGGGTCATTGGTGGGTAGAGAACAAAAGACCTGACCATGTGAGATGGGGACTACATAGCATCTGATGTAGTCCCAGATTTCTGAAGAACAGGGGTAACTCAGTTACATTTACATAGATATCAGAGGTCTTTGACATTCAAGTACACCCACTGGGAACCTCAGCACACCTTCTGAGGGTGCTCTCAATAGCTCTGTAGTCTCCAAAGGATTATCTGGGGATTAAAATACATGTGTTTCTCCTTCATAAGATTGCATATCAAAAATGGCTTAATTTAAAAAAATACACGTGTTTCTATGAGCAAAACTGTTACAAATAAGGACAGGTTACTGAGTAAATACTTCACCTTATTGGTGTTTATAGTTATAAGAAGAGTCTCCAGTTGCTTAAGTGTGACACCAAAGGGCAGAGGGACTGACCAGATGAGGAAGCCCAGGCCCCGGAAGTTAGTGTCTTTCCTATCACACCAGCACTACTTGATCTCTGATTCTGACCTTAGTTCTTCACAAGTTGGAGTCATCTCCAAATATAACTTGTGCGTTGTTGATGCATCTTGAACAGTGTCTGATGTACAAGGTACTCAATAAACATTTGTTGAATAAGTGAATGTTGTTTTAAAATATCCAAAGATACCATAGCTTTGGCTATTTTGAAAGGATAAGTCCATATTAACAATATGATACAATGTAGAACCAAAGAATGCTTACCAGACACAATTACCATTGCACTTTAAGTTGTTTATTAAGCACTAAGCCACATGACAGAACAACTTAAAGATCACCACTAGAATCTCAAGTCCCACAATCATAGACGGCCCTGAAAAATATTTCAGTGAGCCTTCCTACCCTGAATACTTTCAGAACACAAAACCCCATGATTTGTTTAACCAGCCAAAAACATTGCCAAATGATGAAGCAAAGCTGTATCCACTGGGATTAACTTTTCATGTAGCAAATAATGTTTCTTCATTGATAAGAGACTGAACAGACATAATCACAAGCTTCTGGATAACTTCAGAGAAAGAAACGTGAGGCCACAGGCTCAATTCCATGGAGCCAGGCTGGTATTTGTTTTCCTCTCCTTCCAGCTTTCAGATAGACTTCTTTTCGACTTTTGATCTCTACAGGGAAAAAAATAACATGAATATGTGGCTATATTAAAAAATGTAAAGAATCATATTCTGTATACTTCTCATTAGGATTCAGAGAAGGAATGTAATATTTCTCAAGGGAGATGGAGGCACTGTGCAATATAGAAGAGTCTGAACTGTAAGAAATGATTTTACTGCCAACCCGGCTTCTCTGCAACACATTTTATCAATGTCCACTAGAATCTGCACCCTGTTTTCTACCCTCTGTAAGATAGGATAGTTCCTTCTTTCTCTCAGAAGTCTAGCCATGGGAATTTGATACAATAACCTCAAAAAAGCACAAGTAAACCAAGGTGTTAGGATTGTCAGTGCTGTAATTAATCTGGCCCCCAGAAGTACATGTATTATGACTTACTCTTGTATCTTATATTTAAAAAAATGAACCCCATCTTTACGGAGTTGATAGCAAATATAATGACTCCACAGTAATTGTGACTTCTGTCAGAAATGGGACCTTGTTTCCAATAACTTTTCAGACCTAGGGCACCTCTGTAGTTGTGGGCATATGGCACAGAATCCTGAGACCGTGATAGGGCTCACCTGCCGGGGTAGGTGCAAACACAGGAAGTGCTAGTCAGAGCATCTGCCTGGCGTGGGTCATTTTGTGTATACTTCCCCCCCACATACTTATCATAGAGAAGTAGAAATGTATGAAAATATGATCTCTCCCTAATGCATTCCAGTGAAGCTCACGCTATACCTCTGGAGTTGCTCTGGGCGGGCGGGCCCCTTGGGAAAGGTCCTTGTTGTACCAGGAAAAGTGTCTGGTGTTTCTGGTCATACTTTGACTGGGAGGTGGATCTTTGACCTCACAGCCATGGAAAGTCCTCTCACATAAAGTGTAATTTTTAAATCTTTTATGTTTTGAGCACTGTAATATTTAAGGTATTCACAAATAAAATTAAGAGCAAAGACAGCGAAGTGTATGCAATCAGTACCACACACTTGGGTTCTACATCCACCGTAGGTTATCATCACTGGGCCAGGGGAAATAAGAAAGAAGAGAGATAAAGGGAAGCAGAAGTTAAGGGAGGCAATCACAGAGGTACCCCTTCACTATCCTCCCCCAAAATGGGTGCAAAGAGAAAAAAGACAGACCTCCAAAAGGATGACACTCTTCACATAAAAGACTCTTAAGATTGTTGTGGCTCCAACAGACATGATGTTCGAGACCTTCCCTTTTGCAAATGCTGCATTTGTGTGAAATGTTTTCCCTGCGAGCTAGCTGCATACAGTCCTCAGGTTGCCTTAACCCACGTGGGCTAAGTCCCTCACCACTGCAGGAAGGCCCAGAGTCTAAATATGCCCTTTCTCCAAACCATCAAGAAGTTGGCCCTTTCTGACAGTAAATCACCAGTATGTCACATTGTCTTTGTGATGTTTCCACTGAGTGCCATTTATCTACAGTTTTCCAGCTTAATATATAAGTCTGTTAGCTACTGAGTTGCCTTTATAAACACTGAAGAAATCTGAGGGAAAATTATAGAAATACAGGACTGACAGCCTCATCTAAAAGAATACAAAATAAAAACTTACCTAAGTTTCTATGGAACCATTACAATCCATGGCCTCTTTCACCTCTCTAGACTCCACAGAAGATGGTGTTACCTTCCCCTTTCTACAGTGGAGGAAATCCCATCCCAGCAGGATTGAGTGACAGAGCTGGATGGCAGCGCCTCTGCAGACACTCACCTGCAGCCACTCACCTGCAGTGCCAGTGCCTTTTATTCCTTCTTTGCTCTCATCAGGTCGGAGGCCAGCTCTCGGATATGCTCCCAGGCCCGCTGCACATGAGTAGATTCCACAGTGCGAGAGCAGATGGCAAAACGCAGCACAAACTTCTCTCGGAGGTGACATGGAACCAAGTGGATTTTCTTGGTGCTGTTTATTCTTTCCAGAAGACTTTCATTCAGTTTGTTGGAACCCTGAAGGGGTCGAGAGAGAGGGGCGGTGCTCAGGTCCCGGAGGACTCAAGCTCCAACGACTCCCAAGGAAGCCCCGCATTCAGCAATGCTCCCACATATGAGGGAGAGCCTCTTTCCCACTTGCCTTTCATTCACAATGGTAAAACATTCAACCAAGTAACATTTACATGGCCCTGAGAGACTGCAGGGCTATTTCTCCATGGTCTAATGTGCTGTCAAAAGATGACTTTTCCATGGTCCAGATTTTTTAGGAAAAAGTAAGGATTTCTAGATATATTACCCACAAATTAATGAACTTAAACAACAGAGCTCTGGTATCTAATGGCACCAATGAAGGGGTCTCATGGAAACAAAAAGAAGAAAGTCTCAGTAACATAGAAAATGAAGCATAATTGAAGTGTAATAGCTTATTGCTAGAATCTCGGAAAAATGTCCCCAAACTATGGACTGTTGTTGGACCTCCTCTGGAGTGGAGCAGCCAGCCTGGGGCAGGGAGGCCGAGGCCCACCGCCCACTGACTGGACCAGAGGGCAGACTTGCACCGTGGAACGGGAACCGGGAAGCTGCCCCTTCATGTCTGGCAGCTGCTGGGAGAGGGGAGCTGGGGAGGGGAGGTGGTGGAAAACAGACTGAGTGGAGACCAACAGAGGGCTGGCTGAGATAAGGACGGAGTGAAGTAAACCATAGCAATAGCAAAAGTTTAGCTGTTTTAAGTTAAAGACCATAGTATATGCTGAGGCAGTTGATGATGTAAAGGGCTTGAAATCCAGACTGGAGAGGAATGGGACCAAAAGAAGATAATGACAAGGAGGTAGATGCAGAGGCAGAAAATGAACCATAAAGCCTTCCCATAATGCATTCCCAGTGGATCTGTGGAATGGAAGAAACGAATCAAATGCCACAAAAGGAAAGGTGTATTGGCTGAAAAGCACCCAGGTGACCTGAGAGGGAGGACTCACTAGGCTGCACATAAGAGTGGACAGGACCCTGCACAGGTGGGTTTGGGGTCAACATAAATTATGAAAAGAAAACTGAAGTCTTGACAGCATTGTGCTAAGGGAGAGGAGCTGGTCCCAGAAGGCAGTATGGTGGCAATTCCATTTACAGGGGCAGAATAGACAAATCCATGGAGACAGAAAGCACATCCTAAGGATGGGGTGGGGGGTTCTTTGGAGGACGTGATGTTCTAAAATTAGATTTTCATGAGTCTATACAACTGTGCAGATTCGCTAAAAACCATTAAGATGTGTAATCTAGGTGGGCAAAGTATATGCTATATGGATTACAGCTCAATAAAACTGTTAAACATTGAAAAGTTAAAGTCCTACAGGAACACTGGCACTAAAAACATAAACACAATGACTTCCTGATGGCTAACAAGGCACACTGCCCACACCAGCGGTGAGCCACCACACGCGGCCACCGGGGGCCCTGCACTTGGGACACCACTGCTCTGGGCCTCTGTGTGCCCATCCAGAACACACAAGACCTCGGCTCCTCTGCACACTTCTGCGCTGCTCACCAAGTTGTGTCTCTGCAGATCATGCAGCCCCCGTCCAGCCCCTGCATCGGAACATCAGAAGGCTACTGTCGCTCTGTCACATCCAGGCTTTCTCGTAACTGATCCCATCATCACCTCAAAGCTCCAAGAGTCAATGAGGGAAGGAGATGTGAGTGGAGGGCCACTTTGATCACAGCCCTTGACAGAGCTGGACTACGGCTGCTGCTCCTGGCCACCTCTGCGGGTGGATTCTCCAGCTGCACAGCCATCCCGGCACTGACCAGGCATTAGGCTCTCGCCTAGCTTTGTTTACAGCAGGGGTGTGTGTGTGCAGTACCTCTGGGGCCCTTTGAAAAATACAGTCATGATGATTTCCAGCAAACAGGTTTATACCCTGGCCACCTAGGCCCGCTCCCCTCCCACAGTGGACACAGTCAGGCAGCAGAACGAAAGAGCACTGCAGACCAGTGCTTCTCAAAGGCCTAGGTGCACCAGCAACCCGGGGCCCTTGCTCACAGGCAGAGCCAACCGCCTGCGTGGGGCCTGAGATGGCCTTCTTCACCAGCCCCCAGCCCACACTGATGCTGGTCCTGTGGCCACCCTTGGCAGGTGCACCTGTAAAAGAACCAGTCCTCAGAGTGCTCTAGGAGCAGAGGTGTGTGGATGGAGAAAGTGGCATGTATTCTAGGGCCAAGGTTCAACCTGATGGAGACCAAGCAAACAGTTTCTAAGAAGAGTGTGTATGGAGTATGGTGGGGGGTGGGTGGCAAGGACACAGCCTGGGAATGAGGGCTGAGTCCCGGGGTCTTGGGGGGCCAATGCAAGCTCCTGAGCCGAGGTCATGAATGATACCTTCCCCTCCATGACATTCAAAGAATATGAAGAAGACTTAACATACCTTTAGCCGAAAACACACCAGCCCCAGAGTGACTTCTGCACAGACTTCAAAGCGGGGATCCTGGTGCACCAAAGACTCAAACTCGTGAGACAGCTGGACATGCTTGGGAAGGAGGGAGGACATGGCATGAGTCTCTTCTCACCATTTATGCAGACTAGCCTCCTGGGACCCCATTAGCCCACTCATCCCCTGTTAGCCCACACATCTGTGACTCAGTCAGGAGCTGACAGCCGTGTCCTCCAGCGTGCACAAGACCTGCTCACCAGCCACTCCCACACAGGTCATGGAGAAACTTGTAACCATGAGAGAAGGGCTGTCTTCAGAAAAACACCAAGCGTCATCTTCTGTTCAGTAGACTCTTTGTATCACACAGAAACAATCTCATAATTTAAGAATAAACATTGTGAAGGGTATCTAAGCATCCAGGAAAGACACGTGGCTGACATCTCCTGAGCAGCTCCCTACACCACTGTGGGCCACGTGCTCCATCACACCATCCTCACGATGGCCTTGCACAGCCAATGCCGTGTTATACCCACTGTGCAGAGAAGGATGCTGAGGCTGGAGGCTAACAGCTGCCCAACGCCAAGCTTCAGTCCTGCACCTACCATTGTGGGCTGTTAGCCTATCGTGCTTGCCACCAAGAGATGTGAATCACATTGTACCCATCACATTCAACTGCTTTCTTCTCACAGAACTACCACCTGTTTGACTTCTGGATGCTCAAGGAGCTCGAAAGCTGATTCAGTGTGTGATCTGAGCACATGCTGGCCCTGGTACCAGTGCATGTGTTGCTCATGTAACCTAGCACCTAGCGTGGCGCTTTCACCTGCTGGTGCTCAGAGAGCATCTGAGCCAAGTACTGTGCTCAAAGTGTTCTTGGAACTGAGTCACCATACCAATGAGCTCTTCCCTGCATGTAATAAACCTGGTGCCACTAGGGGGCACCAAAGACTTTGTGGTGTCAGGTCACTCCCCCACCAATGGAACAGCTGGCGGGGAGGAGGTACAGCCTGCCCAGGACAGGTTAGACCATCCCCATACCGCCCCTCCTTGCAAGGCAGGACGGGAGCCCTTCAGAGCCAGCCATGCAGTGTTTTTACTGTGAAGCAGCTTCATCACACCCAGCTGTCCCTGAACTTCAAGTTGGACCCGTTATGGTGAGATAAATGACTTCCTTTTTCTCCTTTAAGCAAAGGAGCCTGAAATCTCATTGTATTTGAAGACATCTCAGACCCATAAACTGGCACGCACACTCCTGCCCTAGGCCTTGACCCCACATGGGTCCTTACAGAGGCCATGTAAGGAGACAGACGCCAGCCTGGGAGCCTGCGGCCATTCCACTGTGTCCCAGCTGTACAGGGGCCAAGCTGTGGCCCAGAATGTGAAATGAAGGAAAGCCAGAAACCACAGGCTGCCTCGTTCCCATGGAGCCTGAGGACATCTGCCCACCGAGATGGGCCACAGCTGAGGAAGGACCAGCATGCGAGGGACCCAGCTGGAGGTCAGGCAGGTCTTCTGGAGCTGGCTAACTGGGCAGGCAGGTCCTAGCAGGTATTCTGGCCTCAATTTCCTCAATTGTTCAAAAGCAAAAAAAAAGCAGGGTAGTGGACTGGGAGGAGGTCACCGGTTCCCACATATTAATGCTCATCACAGCTACCTGGTTCACTTCCTAAAATGGAAGTGGCTGGGGCCACTCCCACGAGACCAAGGCCATGTATGTGCTGCTGATTAGGGGCATATCCGGGAGCCACTGGGCTAGGTGACACGCATCCCCATCCAGCTCTGTGAGTCTCCCCTGCTGGCAGGTTTTGGAAAAATCACACTGTGTTCTCACTACTGCCGTTGTTGATGTGACCTCACTGTGAGCAACATGCGCGTAAAGTCCCAGCCAAGTGGTGTTTTCATCTGAGTCTCTTGCAGCTGAAAACCTGTCATCTTCATGGAAGTGTCTAGAAGATCCATAATCATGCATTGTCTTACATAATCATGCATCTTATAAATACCCTAATCTCAACAGCCCAAACTATCTCTTATCACTTATTTGCTTATTAAAACATCTTATTTATAAAGTTTAAGCCCTCCCAGATAAACAGTGAAAAAGCAGTCACCTTGCGGATATAGGCCTGCAGCCCCTCAACTCCATACATCCTAAAAACAAACCACATCTTCAAAGAACGAAATCTTCGACCCAGAGGTAACTGCCAGTGCTGCAACAAAACAAAACATTGCATTAGGGAGGCGTGTGCTAAGAACTGGCGTCCTTTTTGACTCATGGCTCTGCATGTTTCTCTTGGAGGCCAGCTGCCAGCTGCCAGGCCCCATCTTGGGTGACAAAGCCAATGTGGAGGTAGCAGCCCCCACAGCAAAAGGCTTTCTTTGCAAAACTCCAAGACAGATGAGGATGGAGCAGATGTTTATGTGGGAGGCACTGTGTTCACTGCACTAAGTCAGCAGAGGTTTGCCACGGTGAGCAGGCAGGGAGGTGTGGAGCTTACCTCCATTGGGGTGGGGGTTCTTTCACTGATTTCTCTGTCTACAGGAACAAAGAAGGAGGGAGCCCAAACCCACACCCCTCTGCTGGGTACCATTTTCTAGGGCAATATTCTCTTCCTGCCCCACTGGCTGCCACGAATGACCTGCAGGTCACACTGCCACCAGAAAGTACATCCCACCCTGCTGGTCCTAATACACTATCCCTGGTTTTTCCTGAATTTGTCAGCTGGCTGGCACTCCACATGTGGTGTGGCTCCAATGTTATAAACATACTAACGCCAGCAAGAAAGGACACAGAGGGGATTAAGGGCTGGGGCTGTTTGGGAAGATGAAGTAGTGGCACTTCATTGTGACTTTTCTATTGAAACTTAAAAAGAAGATGCCGAGCGAGCAATTCTCCCTCTCCCTCTCTTGGATATCAAATGAACTATTTCTGGGTACTTTTCTCTCTGCAATTAAAAATGTTTAAATCCTATTTCTACTCGTGATAAGCCACCAAAATGAACAGGAAGATGCAGCTTCCTCAATATCATGGGAGGTTGTGTGGCTGGGCCAGGGAGTTTTTGACCAAGGTTCTTGGTTCTCTGTTAATTAGGAACAGCAAATTCTTTAACTTTGAATCTCTGTCTCCAGATCTGTGAAAGGAGTATGAGGGTGCCCACTCTGCCCAGCACCAGAGAACTGGTGGCAGATGGTGCTACCTTCCCATCATCAGCCGGCCGCCCACCAGCAGGCACACCGGCCCCCTTCTCCCTCCTCCTCCTCTAGGTGCTAACAATCTGCCCTCTTGCCCTCATCCCCTGGAGGGCTGGTAATCCTGCCAGGGCTTGCTCATTCTTTTCACCCCACACTTCCTGGACTAGCCTTGTAGGCAGCCTAAAATACTGGGGGTCTTGCCCCAACCTGGGGGCTGTGACCACCTTAGGTCGGGGCTTCTAACCTTTTTGAACAAAACGATGGTGTCTGTGGTGTTCTTGTCCTTCGCCTGCTGAGCCCAGGACTACCTCCCTCAAGGAAGAGCCTGGGCTCTCAGGACCCAAGGCTGCATTCCTGCCCGGATGCAGGTCCTTTCCAAACAGCAGGAGGACCAAATGAAAGCTGTTCCCAGGACAGACACCTCATAGGCTGTAGTGGCAGGACTTCGTTATTCCAAGGTACAAAGGGGCATAAGGAGAAACTGGGATATCAGAGGACACTGGAGGGGTTGGTACATTTTCTCTTGGGCAAGAAGCAGCCATCAGAGAGGAGCAAGGGGTCTCAGATGTGTCTCAGAACAGCAGCTCCCTGGTAGCCAGCACAGCGCAGAACAGAGGGGCTGCACAGCCTAAGGACAGTGCCATCCTTGCAGAGGAATCTGGGTGTCACCTTTCTGAAGAGCACCAAGATTATTCCTTCCTAGACTGAGCCCTAAAGTTGGGGGCTCCGCAGAGCTGCCCACTGCCTGTCCTAATCTTCTGGTTGGGACTCAGCTGGACGGTGTCCTCAGCAAGACCCTGACTGTGAGCTGAATTGGAGGCAGCATGAGTTAGAGCCCATGACAGCACCCGGCACCCCATTCAGTTTGGATGACCACCTGGAACTCAGCGGGACAATCTCCCACTTACCCTGTAGTCAGTGATAAGCCCTAGAAAAGAGGAAAAGAAAGAAAAATAAATAAAACCATTAGACACTTGGCTGATCATGTGCATAATACTCGTCTTCAAGGTACACTTCCTGTGTCCCATCCATCATGTCCTGGACCACACACAGACCACCAAGGACAGGGGCTAGGTGTTCTCTGTGACACAGCCCAAGTCGACAGATTCAAGGGGGTTCCAGAGAACAGGGCGCCTGGAACACAGGTTGGAAATGCTAAATTATGAAAGGATTCCCATTTGTTTCATTTTCTGCAGTTCATAAGCATGAAATCTGAGACTTCTAGTGCCCAGTAGTAAACTGGCAGTCAGGTCCCATGCCTTCCTTCTTGTGTGGGGAGGTGAATTTGTGATATAAAGAAGGATTAAAACAAATGAAGGAATAACACTTGTGCTGGGTGTTCCTCTCCATATTCTTGGATCTGGGTCCAGGGTCTGGCCAGAGCAGATACCACTGAGCATCCGGTGAGTCCTTTCATCATCCTGGATTGAAATGGTTTCACAGTGGCTATGAAAAATCACTGCTTCCCGTTTTAGTCCCCCCTTAAACAGTATATCCAAGGATCATACAGAGGAAAGAACGCTGGACAAGAGTCAGATGGAAGTTTCTACGTGGTGATCTTGGGCAAGAAATCAGGTGGAATTATAAAGATGTGCTGCACTTAAAAATAGTAGTTGTAATTATAATCTTTTCCAGGGCTTATTTTAAAAATGTAGAGAAAAACTTTAAAAATTCACAAATAATTATACCATTTCAATCCTGTTCACATTCTAGAATTTTTCATTCCATGTTTTAAAAAAAAAATTGTATCACTGAGATCATCTTTGAAATATCAGACTTCTGTCTTTGCTTAGAATAGCAGAGAAATCTGGCTTTCCAGGCCCTGGGCAAGCCCTCAGAGGCTGGCCTGCACTAACATGACGTGGTAAAAAAAAAATTGTATCACTGAGATCATCTTTGAAATATCAGACTTCTGTCTTTGCTTAGAATAGCAGAGAAATCTGGCTTTCCAGGCCCTGGGCAAGCCCTCAGAGGCTGGCCTGCACTAACATGACGTGGTATTGGCCATGGCCTGCAGGCTAGGACAGTGAGCATGAATGGGCCATTTTGTTTCATGAAGGCACAAGGCACTGGAGAAATTTTTCAGCATCTCTGTGCCAGGGAAAGCCCTGTTCCTCATAACACGAACACCTGTCTGTGTCCCCGCTCTGCCCTGGTCACTGGGGAGCCCACAGCCAGACCGGAGGCTGCCCCACTTCACCATGCTGTGCCCTCTGTGGCCTTGGAGAGCTGGCCACCCTAGGCACACCGGCCCCCTCCCCGCTCCTCCTCTTCTAGGTGCTAACACTCTGTCCTCTTGCCCTCATCCCCTGGAAGGCTGGTAATCCTGCCTGGGCTTGCTCATTCTTTTCACCGCACACTTCCTGGACTAGCTTTGTAGGCAGCCTAAAATCCTGGGGGCCTTGCCCCAACCTGGGGGCTGTGACCACCTAGGCAGCCGGCCCCCAGCTTCCCCACCAGACTTCATGGGCGGGCACTGGGCCCATCATAATGGCACCATCTGTGGTCCCATGGAGAGCAGGTCTGCACCAAAGGGATGAGATGAACACTCACCTGCCCTGGGGCATCTCTTCACTCCCCACCCCCAGCCCAGCTTTCTTCGTTTTCTTCTCCTCCCCTGTGGTATTGGCATAAGCGGGTGCAAACTCTCTTTCAGAGAGACACAAGGCCAGTTGTTGTTTTATAGTTTCCGCATGGGAGACGTCCGTACCCACAAGGACGGCTGTGCCCAGCCCTCCCCTCCCAGCTCCTGCTCTGACCAGCTCCCCATCAGTGCCCATTGCCTGGGGTCCACGCCCACTTGGCGGTCAGGCTGTGTGTCCCTGAGCCTTCCTCCCCCATCCTCTGCTTCGAGTTCAGCTCTGATGGAAACCAAAGTAGAAGCAGGCCACAAGCCAAGGGCTGCTTACCTGAGTCCTGGTGGCTGTGCTTCAGGTAGAGAGGGTCCAGCTTGAAGGCTCCTGTGAGGTCTGTTCTCTTCTTCACCCTGGTTTTAGACAACAGATGATGGGCTTAATGAGGAGGTACCTTAGATGGGGCTCTGGCTTCAGAAGGTCCCCTGCACGAGAGCCCCATCTGCACCCCACCACCCAACCTCACTGCAGCACAGCATTGATTTCTGGAGCTCCAAGCACTGGGGCAGGATGATAAAAGATTAAGTATTTGGTCTTGTCTCTGGCCCCCAGCACAGAGCTCCTACAACCCCTGGAATCCTAGAGTGATAAGGTGGCTTTTGTATGCCAGGTGATAACAGGTGGCTGGGCCCCTAGAGAGCTTCAGGGTGGGGGCTGGTTGCCAGGGAAACCAATCGCTGATCAGAGGGGAGGGGTGGACCTCTGAACCCCACACCCCCAATCTCTAGGCAGAGGAGAGGCACTTGAGATTGAGCTAGTCAATCAATCATACCTGTGGAACGAACCCTCCATAAAGTCCCCTATACCATGGGTGGTGGCTAAACACCCGGAGCTAGCGGCTCCTGGAGGAGGGGACGCTCTGAGCCCCACCCCCACCCGCGCCTTGTCCCAGCCTCGCTGCCATTTGGCTGCTTGCTTGTTTCCTCCATAATAAACCTGCAAATGTATGGAAAGCACCTTCCTGAGTGCTATGAGTTTGTGCTAGCAAATTATCAAACCTGAAAGGGTAGAGGCTGTGGTAACCCCCAGTTTTACAGCCGCATTGGGTGGAAGAGGATAAGTTGGGACCCACTGCCTGTGACTGCCCTGTGAGACCAAGCCCCTCACCCCGGGGGTCCGGGCTAACTCCAGTCAGGCCGTGTCAGAATAATGGCATCACGGGACACTAGCTGGTGTCTGCAGAGCTAGTGAATGACACCCTAAGGCTAGAATTTGCTCTGCGCTTCCAGGCCCTGATGGGCATCATCCCAGCCAGTGGGGTGAACAGAGAGAGTGCTTAACGGTGAGAGCGAGGCCCGGGGCTGCAGCGTGCTGTCCTCAACTCAATCCTTTCACACCTGTGCACCCCTCGGACGGGTCGCGCATAGTGACAGTCCTTCCAGGTAACTCAGGTGAGAACTCTTTTGGACTGGGATTTGAGGGACTGAGCTTTATGAGCATTGCCTTTCAGCCTCATTTGGCAACATGGACACCAGCTCAGAGCAGTTTTGAGGCAAACAGAATATCCTAAGGGGCAAACTGGAGAGGAGATGGCAGAACGGTAGGCTTGAAAGCAAACATAATGTGAGAGTCCCTGACGGATAAAGCCCAGTGAGCGTGAAATGGGTGTCAGAATGTGGTTTACAATGAGGAGATGGGAAGAAGGGCAAGATTTACTTATGAAAGGCAACTGAGGTGTTGTTTCTTCAAAGGTTAAAGGCAGACTCGGTCAGTAAGCAATAATAAGCTGTCTAGTCATCCTCTCCCTTTGACCTTTGGAAGAAAACGGATGGCAGCTGATGTGCATGTGTGAGCAGGAATTTTGTTGCATGGTGGGCATCATATGAGCCAGTGGAGGAATTTCCTCTGGTCTCTCTGGGCTAGGGAGGGCTCTGTGCTCAGCCTTAAGAGGGGGAGCAGTGAGTGAAAAAGGGCAAGAAATACTCATGAATATCAGCAGAATTCTGTCCTTTGTAAATGAAGATCACACTTCCCCCTGATACCAGCAATGATCTTGGAGCTGTGTTTTTAATTTATGCAGTGTTGAAGTGATGCAAAAGGTATAAAAAATAATATATCCACCTCACTGTTTATGAAAAACAGAAAATGTACAGTTAGATCTGGGATGTCCCTTCCTCTCGCCACCTCCCAGAGGAGGCCACATGGACTTATCACTGCCACAGGGTTCCACAACATTTTCTGTACAAATTCCTACGTAATCTTTGGTATTGTTTTGCAAGCTTCTAAATATGACGTAAACATAAATGGCATTGTTCTCTGTGTATTTTTCTATAACGTGCTTTTTATTTTTGTTGGCACCCTCCCCAGATTCCACCCTGGGAACAGGTCACAATTTGCCCATCTCCTACTGCTTCCTATTCATTGTTGGACACACTTCTCAGTCCTGAACACTCCTGGTGTGCCTGTTGCAGACAGTCTCTGGGACGTGCGTCCAGTCATAGGACGGGGCAGGGAAAGCATGGCATCTACAACCTTGCTGATGGCAGGGACAAACTAAGCTTCAAGGTTGTGGAACCCCGAGAGCTCCCATGCTCCATGTTCTGGCCAGCACTGAGTGTGCATTTTATTTTCCACAATCAACAATGGTTCACTGTGATTTTAGTTTGCATTTTTAATTATTAATGGAGTGAGTAACTTTGCATTTATTAAGAGACCACTCCTATTTCACCCTTGTGAGGAAATCTTTGTTCATTTTTCTATCAGGTTGTCTGCCTCTGAATTGTATACTGGATTGTAAAAATCCTATAATCTTAGGAATGCTAAGCCAGATACTTGTGGGCCATTTCTGGCATCCTCTTCTGATCCCTGCCTGACTGTGCTGGGGTGCACTGCACTGGCTCAACCACTGTCACTTCACACACACTATGATGTCAGGCAGGGCACGATCCCCACATTGTTCTTCCCTATTCTCTTGGCTATTCTGGGCCCATGTAAATATTAGGCTCAGCTTTATTGAGTTCCACAAAAAGTACAGCCAGGAGATTTATTAGGATTGCACTGAAGTCTAATATTGAGTCTCCTTCTCTGTGTACCTAATGTACCACCCCGTATTAGGACTTCTGGAGTGACTTCCAAAACTTGTATAATTTTCTTCACAAAAATCTAGAGCTTTGATAAATTTATTCATAGTAACCTAATATCTTGTCTTGCTATTATAAAGAGTATTTCTTTTTTAAAAAATTACAGGTACTGTTTATTATATATGTTTAAAAAAGCACAACTTTAAAAAATGGGCATCTAGAAATCTTGCTGTGCCATCTTATTAATAAGACTTACCCTGGAGATTCTCTTTGTATTGTAGATAGTCAGATCCTCTGAGAATAATGAGAGCTTTATGTCCTTCTTTGTAATCCTTCCACCTTTACTCTTTAGCATCTCTTATCACACAGGTCAGGAGAACAATGTTGAACAGAAGTGTGAATTATGGGAATCCTCATTTTTTCCTGACTTTAAAAAAAATGCTGCTAATATTTCACCATTAAGAACAAATTTACTATAGTTTATTGGTAGCTTTTTTTTTTTTATCAGATTAAGAAAGGTCTCCTTTGTACCTATTTTCCAAGTTTTTGTTCTGCATAGGTATAGAATTTTACATAATGCTTTTTCCTCATCTAATGTGGTAACGTTGTTCTCCTTTACTATTAACATGATAAGTGACATTTAATAATCTTGTAATACCTTTAAATCGCCCTGGCATATCTGGAATAAACACATTTTGGCCATGATATACTGTCTTTTTTTCCCTTAAACATCATTGAATTTTATTTGCCAATGTTTGACTTAGAATTTTCATATTTAGGCTTGTTAGCTTGTCGTGTAGCTTTTCTTTCTCATCTTCTCATCTGGCTTGGGAATCAGAGTTACACTAACTTCATGATATGAGGAGGGTGTGGGCCCTCCCAACTGTGAATTACATGTATGATTGCACTGATAAACGCCTTCCCGGTTTGAGATTGCTATTATAAAAATTGGGATGTTTCTGCTCTGTGAAAATTTAACTATGGACTCATTATCTTAAAGAGCTGCAAGATTTTTCAGATTTCCTATTAATTCTGGAGTCTGTTTCAGTATGTGCTTTTTGTTGTTATCAATACCTACATCTGCATGGTGCAATCACAGTGCTTGTCTACTATGTTTTAAATCTCTGCCGAGTCTGTGGCTGCCCTTAACATTTCCAGTGCAGTTTACCTGCCTCTATTTCTGACCCATCTTTCCAGAGATCACCTATTTTATTAGGACAGGTCAAGGGGTCCTATGCGGTTCTGTTGATCTGCTCCACTGTGCCCTTATTTTCTATTTCATTAATATCTCTTACTCTTTACTATTTCCCTCCTTCCAGTTTCTTGGGGTTTATTCTGTTGCTGTTTTATAGGTTCATTTGGGTCCTTAGCTCACTGCTTTCTGTGTAACTCTGGCCCCCAAGTCCTGCTTTCACTGCATGCTACGCACCCCTTACACTGTCCTTCTTCCCAAGCCCTGCTGCAGCTTTACATGTGTCCACTTCCTCATATTTCCCGTGTCCCACTACACTGCGCTTATCAGCGCTGCTGGGTGTGGTTGTCTGCTCTCCAGTGTTTAAGTACTAGCTTTGCTTTTCCTTGTGCTGTGAAGGGCAAGACTGTATTTAAACAAACAGATGTGTGTGCACATACAACATACACTTGCATGAGCACACACACACAAAAATGTCCTTTCTAAGCTTCACAGTGAGGAAATGCTGTCCCTGTCACACAGACACACTCTTGAGGGCTGGTCCTAAGGGATGAGGGATGGCTACTCCTGTGTTGGCTTCTTACATTGTTTTTTAAAAAAATCGACAATAGGGAGCAAGCTCTCTTTTGAATGAGGGCTTCTAGTATGTATGGAATTTTAGGCTTTCTTTGGAGAAGATCTGATATTAAGGAGACATTAAGGGCTGAGCAGAATTATGGGAATCCTCATTTTTTCCTGACTTTAAAAAGAATGCTGCTAAAATTTCACCATTAAGAACAAATTTACTATAGTTTATTGGTAGTTTTTTTTTATCAGATTAAGAAATTTTTTACATATAAAATAATTTACATATAAAAGATTCAAAATACCAAATGAACAATGAAAAGCTAATGAACAGAATAATGAAATCATTATGAAACGTATTTACTGTGTTTGTAATGATTGCAAGTTCTAGAAACTTCAATTATCTTGTCCATTTCAATATTCAGAGAATATAACCAGTGTGTTTACTTTAAATTACAGACTAACCACTGGCAAAATTTCATTTAACGAAAGAGAGACACTTGTGCTTTTAAGGAATACAAAAAAGCCAGAGAGCAATTAAAAAAAATCCACTTACATCTTTTCTGTTATATTAATAAAATCTTTTAACACAGCTCTAAAAATCCACAATTTAGTATTTGCCTGTTTTCAGCTCTTTCTGAAATCCGGTTCTTACAGGCGTCCCTATTATTTTAATTCTATCGGGTTAGGATACCTTATTTTACCACAATAACCTCTCAGAATAGCAAAATATATATATTTGATTCCATGGAAAGTCAGGACAGTGAAAAAAAAGCCTGTGAGTGGATTCTCAGCCCTCAGTCTCTCCCGACTCCATCACTATGTTGCAAGTATGAAGATAAGACAAAGCCAAGTGAGTTTTGCCCTCCCCCAAAGCCAGCTACACCAGAAAACCGGATGGATTTCATCAGGCTCAGTAAGGCCCAAAACAAAGTGGAGTCAGACGGCCACAGATTTACAGGAGGCCACACACGTTCTGTGCTATCAGAACCACGGACTGACATCAGCTCCGTGAAGCAGAACCAGCATGAAGCAGACAGAGCTGGAAAGTCCACCAATGGACTGGGTGATTCCCATCAACCAATCAGGACCACACAGGCCTGCACCCCTCATTTGCATAAGCGGACCTGAATGGGAACCTGCATAGAAACTTCTGTGAAAACAACTTTGTGTTTCCTAGGAACACACTTTTGGTTCATAGACATGGGCTGTGACCTTCCTGGTGTGCAAATTGTTTTTTAGCAATAAAGTTCTCCTTGATTAAATTTCCTGTTTTACACAGAGATTTGTTAACACAAGACACTGCCCGCAAACCTTTATGTCTGCAAACCCTCAAGGTTGTCTAACCTGGCCTGAACACACTTAGCAGACCCATGGATCAGGTGGGCAAAGGAGCAGTTGCCCTACAAACGGAAGAGGGAGGGATGCTGTGGTCCATTTTCACCTTTGGCCTTCAGGGTGCAGGTGCCTGGCCTAAAATCAGGACTATATCCAGTATTCAGAGAGAAACCAGCATCAGTGACAGCTGAACAAAAGTGGCTCTGTTCTCTTATTAGTAAGTCTTTGATCCAGGCAGGGGGTCCCTGCTGTCTCTGTGGGGAGCCCCTGCTGGTTCTGTGTCAGCCACAAATTCAGGACTAGTAATCTGACCTCCAACTCACTCAGTTTTTGCAACTGACCGAATACCCCAGCAGAGCTAAATTATATTTTCATCTGAATTAAAGTTTGAAGAAAGAGACTTTTGACACACTGTATAAGTTATCAATAATGTGTGTCACTTTAGATAAAATAGATTTTACCTAAACCACAAGAATACCACAGAATCCTAACATTCATAAAAGCTTTAACTACTGTAAATTCTTGTTACTATTTCAAACAAAGTCTGAAATGCCCATATATGAATGGGTTTAACGATCACATATCAAAGTTAAAGGCAAAGACTAACAAAAAAGAATGTGATTTGAACAGAAGAAAGGTGCTAAAGGTTTGGCTTCTCTGTAGATAAACTAGTGAAAGAGCAAATTGATTATTTGGTAAACTGGAAGACAGATTTAATGTTGGCTTGGGTGAGAGGTGCTTCCCCCACCTTTCTAAGGTGAAAAAGCACTTACTTAATTACATACTGAATGATTTTGCACAAAACTCATGCAAAGCCCCCTGGTCTTAAGACTGATGAACTGACTTCTTACCCTAATATACTTAGAAGAACCAGTTCCTGGAGATCCTATTCCACTCCCACCCATCATCCTTTCTTTAAATATTGTCTGTGTGATGGAATATCATCCATTTTAATTTTTGAATTATTTTTCCTGCTCTAAATATAACCAACATGGTTATGACACTGCTAAGATTTTCCGAGGAACTTCTTAGAAAATGGGATTACTTTTATTTTTTCTTAAGGCTTTTAGACTTAGATTTGTTAAACAGCTAAGAATAAAAACACAGAAACAACTGAATTAGAAATATGTAGTGAAATTCTTTGCATTTGTCTTTAATTATCGATAAATCAAACTATAGATGTTCTCTGTGAAAACCTTCTCTTTCCTTGTGCCAATATGCTGCAATAATATGTTCTAGGTTTACATCCAGGGTAAGATTTTGCAAGAATCTCACCCATGGTTCAGAAACAAAAGTAAGGAATAAGTATTATGTGTGCCTCTCCAAGAGCAGCATCTCAACACCTACCAGGCTTCTCTTTCCAAGAGGCCACTGTTCTGAGCAGCAGTGAGTGGGGAGTAATGGGCTCTAACACGGGAAACTTACCACATGGCAGAGCAGTCAAAGTTCACCAAAAGCCATTTGTGGGGATTAAAGTTAAATGAATCTGCAAACTGCCAAGGAATAACAACACAAGAAGACATTTCAGTTATTAATATTTAGTTATAAAACAAGCTCCCATACACAATAGCCAACAGATTACATGCTCAAATGGAAAGCAACGAGACCATGGGGTAGGGAAGGGAGGTACCTAGAGCCGTGGGGGTTGGGCCACAGGGTCAACAGGAAAGGTCTGGGCCCTGGGACTCAGGCAGCCACAGTACCCACCTGAGCCTCTTTTCATTCATTTTCAAGCAGGAACAACAATCACAGCTCATGAAGTGTGTTTACTTTAAATTACAGACTAACCACTGGCAAAATTTCATTTAACGAAAGAGAGACACTTGTGCTTTTAAGGAATACAAAAAAGCCAGAGAGCAATAAAAAAAAATCCACTTACATCTTTTCTGTTATATTAATAAAATCTTTTAACACAGCTCTAAAAATCCACAATTTAGTATTTGCCTGTTTTCAGCTCTTTCTGAAATCCGGTTCTTACAGGCGTCCCTATTATTTTAATTCTATCGGGTTAGGATACCTTATTTTACCACAATAACCTCTCAGAATAGCAAAATATATATATTTGATTCCATGGAAAGTCAGGACAGTGAAAAAAAAGCCTGTGAGTGGATTCTCAGCCCTCAGTCTCTCCCGACTCCATCACTATGTTGCAAGTATGAAGATAAGACAAAGCCAAGTGAGTTTTGCCCTCCCCCAAAGCCAGCTACACCAGAAAACCGGATGGATTTCATCAGGCTCAGTAAGGCCCAAAACAAAGTGGAGTCAGACGGCCACAGATTTACAGGAGGCCACACACGTTCTGTGCTATCAGAACCACGGACTGACATCAGCTCCGTGAAGCAGAACCAGCATGAAGCAGACAGAGCTGGAAAGTCCACCAATGGACTGGGTGATTCCCATCAACCAATCAGGACCACACAGGCCTGCACCCCTCATTTGCATAAGCGGACCTGAATGGGAACCTGCATAGAAACTTCTGTGAAAACAACTTTGTGTTTCCTAGGAACACACTTTTGGTTCATAGACATGGGCTGTGACCTTCCTGGTGTGCAAATTGTTTTTTAGCAATAAAGTTCTCCTTGATTAAATTTCCTGTTTTACACAGAGATTTGTTAACACAAGACACTGCCCGCAAACCTTTATGTCTGCAAACCCTCAAGGTTGTCTAACCTGGCCTGAACACACTTAGCAGACCCATGGATCAGGTGGGCAAAGGAGCAGTTGCCCTACAAACGGAAGAGGGAGGGATGCTGTGGTCCATTTTCACCTTTGGCCTTCAGGGTGCAGGTGCCTGGCCTAAAATCAGGACTATATCCAGTATTCAGAGAGAAACCAGCATCAGTGACAGCTGAACAAAAGTGGCTCTGTTCTCTTATTAGTAAGTCTTTGATCCAGGCAGGGGGTCCCTGCTGTCTCTGTGGGGAGCCCCTGCTGGTTCTGTGTCAGCCACAAATTCAGGACTAGTAATCTGACCTCCAACTCACTCAGTTTTTGCAACTGACCGAATACCCCAGCAGAGCTAAATTATATTTTCATCTGAATTAAAGTTTGAAGAAAGAGACTTTTGACACACTGTATAAGTTATCAATAATGTGTGTCACTTTAGATAAAATAGATTTTACCTAAACCACAAGAATACCACAGAATCCTAACATTCATAAAAGCTTTAACTACTGTAAATTCTTGTTACTATTTCAAACAAAGTCTGAAATGCCCATATATGAATGGGTTTAACGATCACATATCAAAGTTAAAGGCAAAGACTAACAAAAAAGAATGTGATTTGAACAGAAGAAAGGTGCTAAAGGTTTGGCTTCTCTGTAGATAAACTAGTGAAAGAGCAAATTGATTATTTGGTAAACTGGAAGACAGATTTAATGTTGGCTTGGGTGAGAGGTGCTTCCCCCACCTTTCTAAGGTGAAAAAGCACTTACTTAATTACATACTGAATGATTTTGCACAAAACTCATGCAAAGCCCCCTGGTCTTAAGACTGATGAACTGACTTCTTACCCTAATATACTTAGAAGAACCAGTTCCTGGAGATCCTATTCCACTCCCACCCATCATCCTTTCTTTAAATATTGTCTGTGTGATGGAATATCATCCACTTTAATTTTTGAATTATTTTTCCTGCTCTAAATATAACCAACATGGTTATGACACTGCTAAGATTTTCCGAGGAACTTCTTAGAAAATGGGATTACTTTTATTTTTTCTTAAGGCTTTTAGACTTAGATTTGTTAAACAGCTAAGAATAAAAACACAGAAACAACTGAATTAGAAATATGTAGTGAAATTCTTTGCATTTGTCTTTAATTATCGATAAATCAAACTATAGATGTTCTCTGTGAAAACCTTCTCTTTCCTTGTGCCAATATGCTGCAATAATATGTTCTAGGTTTACATCCAGGGTAAGATTTTGCAAGAATCTCACCCATGGTTCAGAAACAAAAGTAAGGAATAAGTATTATGTGTGCCTCTCCAAGAGCAGCATCTCAACACCTACCAGGCTTCTCTTTCCAAGAGGCCACTGTTCTGAGCAGCAGTGAGTGGGGAGTAATGGGCTCTAACACGGGAAACTTACCACATGGCAGAGCAGTCAAAGTTCACCAAAAGCCATTTGTGGGGATTAAAGTTAAATGAATCTGCAAACTGCCAAGGAATAACAACACAAGAAGACATTTCAGTTATTAATATTTAGTTATAAAACAAGCTCCCATACACAATAGTCAACAGATTACATGCTCAAATGGAAAGCAACGAGACCATGGGGTAGGGAAGGGAGGTACCTAGAGCCGTGGGGGTTGGGCCACAGGGTCAACAGGAAAGGTCTGGGCCCTGGGACTCAGGCAGCCACAGTACCCACCTGAGCCTCTTTTCATTCATTTTCAAGCAGGAACAACAATCACAGCTCATGACTCATGGAGCTAACACAGACCTGATTCTGGGCTGAAGCACAAAGGGAAGGGAATGACATGGGAGTCAGAGAACGGGGGGTTCAGTCCTGGCTCAACTCCATGTGGACCAGAGAGGGGGCATCTGCTTTGTGGAGAAGTTGTGAATCTCAGCTGGGTTCCCCTCAGCACAGCTCCTGACACGGACCCTCCGTGCTGATGGCAATGTTTGCTGATGTGGGTTTGTTAAGCTGGCCAGGTAGGTCCCCAGGGACATATGTGAAGAAAGCATGCCTGCTGCCTTCCATAGCTCGGGGTGACATGGGGAGCGAACAAGACAGTGGTCATCGGAATGCAGCATGGGATGGCCAGTAGTAGCCATAAAGCAGGCTGCTGCTAGAGGAGGGAAGTCGGAGCTGGGCCAGGACGTGCCAGGGAGGCCCCTACAGAGGGGTGCCCAGAAAGGAGCCAGGCTTGACCTCTGCAGGGCACAAAGGCTGGTGGTCCTGGGACAAAGTGCAAGGCACCTGAAGATGTTTGGAAAGGGTTTGTGGGAAGAGTGAAATGAAGAATCTCATCCTTTTATGTGGAAAAAGCATGTGCTTCAAGAGCCTCAGATCTGGCCTTAGCTCTTCCATGCTCTAGCCGAGGGCCTTGGTTCAACAATTCTATGGGAATGTATAAATGAGGGATTGGGATGAATGAGATCATATCTAGTGCCTTCCTATTAACACTTCCAATTATTTATGGTTGATCCTAATTTGGTGTAGGACTATTATACTCATTAATGGATACATTTTGAGGACCTTGGATAATTCAAAATATGCCGAATCCCAAAGCATAATCCAAAACTAGCCCTAAGGACGTGGGGATTCTGTCATCTGTGAGGAGATGCCCACGCCCAGAAGCAACAAGAATGCAGCTCACAGTTCTGTGGGCTCTCCTGCTTTGAAACTGTGAGTCTCAACTCATTTTCAATTGGGAAAATTCATACTTCTACCTTTCCTCATAAAATGAAATGTTGTTAATGTTTTATGCCATGTGCTCTCAAACCCGCATAGTCTGAAGTGACACAAAATATGTCCAAGTTTCAAATTTACAAGACTATTTGGGATAAGCAGAATTTTAATTCACATGCACTAGGTCAAGAACTGATCTGACCAATGAAATACTTTATGCCTGCACTTTGCTCACCTCCATGAACCAGCAAAACTCTCAGAATATATGCATCAGCATGAGCAAGGGGAAAGTGAAAACTTCCTAACTAACCTACTGTAATCAGGGTCACCCCACTTTTCATTGGATCGGTTGATTATTTTACCAACATTGATGTAATAATCAACGCTTCCCCTTTAGCTAAATATTTTCTTCTCTATTTTTAAAGATAGCATTCAAGTTTGTTGTGCCCCTAACGGTTCCCTCACCGGAAGCCAGCAGCTGCCCCTGCAAAGCCCCTGAAGCCACACGCCAGTAGACTTCAACAATTTGAAGCACCACCATATTTTCAAGCAGAAGATAAGTGATTTCAACAACCAAGACCGCCAGGGAGGGTGCTCTGCATTTCCACAGAGCTGTCATGGGGCTGAGTTCTTCCATTTTCACATGGGTGCCCTGCTTCACCCTCTGGCTGATGAACGGAACCTGGGTCCAGCTGGAGGCCCAGGGATACAACCACGTGGCTAAATCCATAATTGAAGCCAAAATAAAGGGAGAGGCCATCACAGGCCCCAGCTGGCTGAATCTCCTGACGGGGAACTTTGAAATCTTCCCAAGGCTTCGAGACACCTCTTCCCTATCTGGTTCAGGGGTGAGCACAGAGGAGACAGTGGGGGTACATGGGGCCAGGTGGGTGTCGGCAGGGACATGGTTGGCCAGCTGACGGCAGCCTCACACGACAGCCCACTCTGGGGGAGCAAATTCATTTCCTTCTAGGTTTCAATAAAAGTGATTTTGAGAGACAGGAAATGACAAGGCCTTTCATTTGTTGATAAAAGGAGACCAAATGAGCAAGGAGAGCTTTGTGTGCTAGGAATTTTATTAGCTCCCTTGTAGGGGGCTGGCCTGTTTGAATGTGTTTCATTACCCAACTGAGCTAGTATCTTCCTGCTGACAGAGAGAGCCCCTTATCTCCCCGGTAGCCCTGGGCAGGATATTACAGTCCTCTTATCTGACCAGCTGAGCAGCGAGGCCCTCCCCCAGCAGGGAACAGGAGTCGGGCACTAATGGAAGAAAAATGGAGATGGCAGGTCACTGGGCACCAGATCCTGCCTGCTGCTGAAAGGATCTCCACTGCGACGCTCCCATCCCCCGCGGAGGCCTGACAGAGGTTCTACCCCGTGAGAGGGGAAATGTCAAGTTGTGGGTTCACGGGGAAGAGGAGAGTGGTAGCAGGAAAAGACGGTGAAATCCTAAACCTTATGCTTAGAGAAGAGCGTGCCCTGGGGAGAGGTGGACAAATCTCACGGAGCTCACCTGGCCTCCCTGGAGACAGCCCACAGATCCTAGGAAGCCTCTCCTTGCCAGGACAAAAGGCACTTCTGGTGTGTAGGGATTTATACCCCATTTTCCAGCACCAGGAAACCACAAAACCAGTGGTCAGCAGTGAGCTGTACAGGGTGCAGTGTCAGCACCCCGATACCAGGCCTTCTCATATGTCCTCCCTACCCCCCGTGTTTACAGAGGCCTTTGGAAGCCCCGTGTACATCGCCCCCAGGAGTGATTTCTGCTCCAGCACAGACTCAGTAATCAATAAGTAATTATCGAATGAGTGAGTGAATAATGAATGGATGGGATGGAGCTATAAACGAGAATGCCATTCTCTTCTTTAGCAATAAGAGAATTATTCTTTTCAAAGGTGGGAGCGCTGGTGCTCCCCACACCCCACTCCACTTTTCTGGTATTATGGCATTAAGAGAATCCAAATTAGTAATTAGAAAATTGATTGGCAGCATGACATGAGAGCAGAGAGAGGTTTTGAGGGACATTCTCTCCTGGTTGTGGTGAAAAATAATAAACACAGTGTTTACTGTATTCCTGATGCCACATTAAGCCCTTTCAATGTGACTGACCCCTCTGGTGCTCACAGCTCCCCTCCAGGGAGATGTCATCAGAATCTATTTTGTGAGGTGTAGAGAAGATATTCAACCTGCCTGAGGGGACACAGCCAGTCCACAGTAAAGCTGGGATTCCAACAGGCTGTTTGATGGCCAGACTGTGCCCTTAATCCCTGCACTGAGTGTGGCCATGGTCCCACAAGACCCCTGCCCCTGACAACAAAACCAGGACCATAGATGTACTATCTCCATTCCTGGACTCACTGTCAAAGCCGGCCTCTCTGGACCCTTTGTTGCATTTACATCTGAGTTTTGGGTGAGGAGGGATTCTTGCCCGGTAAGCGGTGCTGCCATCAGTGAAATCCTGCTTGTCCAAAATAGCACATCAGAGCACATCTGTAAGGTCATTTCTATGTGCTAAATAAGCCTGTACCGTTTACATTCTGCAGCCCTGTGGGGAAGCAGAGTGCTGGTAAATAAGCTTAATTGTTCTGTCTCCAAAGAAGCAGGGGTTGGGGTGGGCATCACAGGCCCCATTCTACCAATTCCCAAAGCAGTATTGGACATTTAAGTGCAGTGGTGGCAGCTCGTTCAATGTCCGTTAGAGCAAATCTCACATTTGGTTAAGTGGTCACCACATCTATCCCATCAAGACCAGATCAGATGAAACTGCATGTTGATTCTTTAAAAAACCCTTGACCTCAACACATTTAGATCCTTATTTTCTTCCTCAGTATTTCCCCTCAGTTTTATAAGCTAAAATCTGTCCCATCTGACAGCTGTGCCCAGGGTTTGGGCTGACTGCAAATCGGCTATAAACGTCAGGTGAACTTGGAAAGGACAGACCAAATCATGGGGAAGGTTCTCACCCCAGTCCTGAGGGAATGAAATCCCCCAAATCACTGCAGTCAGATTGGAAATAATTTGCTCAAACAAATCACGACCGTGAAACACTGAGCATCACATCTTTGTAGGGAGAAATCACAGGTAACAGAATACTTTCAAACAAAGAGGACACCCACCTCCACTCCGTTCAGAAGATGCCGGAACTCAGGGCAGATGAAGGCGCTGCCCGCGTAGGCCGCATCAATGTGCAGCCACAATTCCTCCTTGTGACCTAAAGTCCAGAAGCAACTTGTGAGTTCCCTGAGGAGGCCCTCATTGAGGGGGCTGGCACCTGCCGCATCCCGTCCAGCGCCCTTCTTGAATATGGTTTATCCACAGCATTTCTTGGCCTCATTTCTGGATCCTACCCACAGGCTCTTCTTGTCTGAAGACTTCTTGGCTGAAGACACTGGGCATAGACCAGCGCCCAGTGAATTCATGGAGAGGGAGGGAACTGGGGCCACTTGCCTGCTTGACCCACACAGCTGGTCCTTGCGTTCAGCGTAACTCTGAGGGACCAGCAAGTGCCAACCCCACCAGGTCCCACACCCACACTTCACCCAGGCATGTGGCCATCCTCTGCCTCCCTCCCAGCTCTCCCAGCCAGCCCCTTCTAACATCGTCCCCACCCCAGCATCATTCAGGAAGGCCCAGTGCACAGCCCACACCTCCTCTGTGCCCACTGCACCCCATACACATCCATCAGTCATTTAACGCTATCTGAACTCATCCTGGCTCCTTTGGTGAATGCGGTTTTTGTTTTCCATCTGAACCCAGCAGCCTTGCAGGAAGGAACCACATCTTACTTGGGAGCTGGGGCAGTCCTGTTTAAATGCGCTCCCTCAATTCAGTTGTACCCGGGTGCGACCCCTGCCTCCAATCACCCAGTGGCTGTATGGCCATGTCTCCCCTCCAGGCCCTTCTCCTCACAGGCAAATGGACGGAAATGCATTTGTGCCAATTGATGGATTCATGGTGCACTTTTTCATGCATGATGCTCATTAGTCATACGTGACACTGTGACAAGTGACAAGCAGTCCTGAGCTCTGCTGATAAAAGATACAGGTGGCTTTTCAAAGTCTTGATTCAGTCTGAGCTTCAGGATTGAAGGGATTAAAGCCCTGGGTTGGATCAAGAGCAAATGTGTCTTCAGGATGTATGCCATGGATGCAGAGGATCAGGGTACCATTAGGCCAGAGCGACCACGGCACGCATGTGGGCCAAGGGTGTCTGGGCTCACCACCTCAGCTGGACTGGCCTCACTGGGCGCCCAGAGAGCCCTAAGTGGATGGGCGGTGAGCACAAAGCCTCAGGATGATCGGGGACTTCTTAGAAACGACAGGACAGCCATTATTGCTCCAGCACTGTGCTACATGTTGGTACAGCTCAGGGGTGCCATGGGGCAGGTGGAAACCTCAGATGCCCTTAGGGGCCAGGCACAAAATCTCCAAGCCAGCCTGTGACCCCATGGGCTGTCTGGGCTCCTTCCATCAGAGGCACTATGCTGAGTTTGAGACACCAGTGTGTGTTTGGTTCAGAACAGTGGCGTGAAGGGTGGGGTGGAACAGGACCTGACCAGGCAGATGTGTCAGGAAAGATGCTAGCTTTGAGGGCTGGAGGGGCGGGCAGAATCCAGAAACCCCGCAGTGCTCTTTCTTCCACAGCCCCCACATCCTCCCACCTCAGCCATCACCCTCCTGAGTGGGAACATGGGGTCAGACAGTAAAATCCATGACCCACCAACTTGAGCCAGGCCTCCTCCAGGACAGACAGGGGAGAGAAGGTCTGGCCTGAACCCCCAGGAGGGGGCCAGGACGATGCCAACCCCAAGGCTCTGTTGCCCCAGAATGCATCTGAGACCCGGAGAGGGGGCAGCAGAAGGCAGACGAAGGCCCGGGGAGGGAAGAGAAGGGGACACACAAGGGGAGGGTGTGCCGGGAGCATGCAGCCCCACTCCAGGAAGGCACAGCCTTCACCCTCAGCTCTGGGAAGGTGACCTCCAGCCTGGAGCACCTGCTGCTAGGGGTCTTTCCTGCCTAGAGCTCTGGCCCCAGACTGTAACAGTATGATTCATGTCAGGGGCTCTGGGCCATGCCCTGTGAGTTCCGGCTTCTGGAGGAACTGGAGACTAAAGGTATCAACAGGATGCCCAGAAGGGGCTGGAGAAGGAAGCCCAGCCACACGGGCAGTATGTGACTGAGCCCAGTAAAGCTCTGGCACCAACAGCTTGGAGCTTACCTGCTAGGGAGGTATTGCCCTGCGTGCATGCTGTTGCATACCATGGCTGCTATGCTTGCCATCCATGGCCGCAGGAAGGGAACACCCAGAGTCTCGGAGTTGGGACCCCTCCCACACTGCCCCACACATTTCCTCCTGTAATTAAGCAGGACTTGTGAGCCCTGCTGGTGGATTAACGGGGCTGAGGGTGGTTTTGGTTCTGGAACTCCTGAACTTGGAATTGATGTCAGCAGCCAGGGTGGTCTTTGAGGACTGGTTTCCTCTGTTTAGTTGGCCTAAAACTCCTGCAGAAGGCAGTTACAGACACCCGTGGTCAGCTCTCTTTTCTCCTTTCCACAAGAGGTAAAGAGCCAGGGGCACCACCCCTGCATCTCACGACTTTAGTGTGATTAGCTGGCAGCACAACCTGCCTTCTGGTCCCTCCAAATATTGCCGGTGTTCTAGGAGGCAGGTGGTCACCGAGACCCCAAGGCCAGAGCACAGGTGTTGCATGTCCCAGGGCAAAGTCTACCCAGCACCCAGGCAAGGCCACCCCATCCAGAGGCTTTCAGATGCATCCCAGAGGGAAGGGGCAGCCTACACAGCTCCTGCCCCCTGCCTGAGGCACATTTCCCTGTGAGGCTTTGGTGGACGGTAGCAGCCTGGCCCCCCTGCACCGTCGGCTGCGTCACCTCCCAGCTATCCTGAGTCCCTGGACGAAGGTTTTGCTGCTCCTCCTGCCCTGTACCAATTTCCAAACCCCCTGGGAGCTTGACCCCTGCTTCCCACTTTCACACTTCCTGCCTATTATCTCATCCTCATCTCATTAAACCTGCCTGGAAATTCAATTGATCAGTCCAAGTGGACCAATTGAAACAGCCTCACTGGTGATCATTTTAAAAGGAACCAAAAAGAAAATGTCTTTCTGAAAGCAGCATTTTGGAGAAAACCATCTTCTGATGTGTCCTCTTCATCAAATAATGGTGGAGTAATAACTTACCTGAATTATTCTAATGGTTTATTCTAACCATACTACAGAACAAGTCAGCTTAGGGGCTCAGAGCAGTCCTGTTTGAAGTTGAAGAATGCTAAGTTGGTCATAGTCAAGTCAATGGTGTCAGAGGAGGAAAAGTAGTAAAACAGTACCTAACTGGGAAGGCACTGCTGATGGTGATATCATCGTCCATAGGGAGTATAACCATCAGAACCGGCCTCCCATGTGAACTCCCGCAGCGATGGAAGGGTCTTGGCACCCATCCACCTCCGCTCCCTCGGTCGGCCCCAGAAGAGCCTCTGGGTTTGGTACCAAACAGGTCACAAATCTTGCTCTTTCCTCAGGGCCCAGCACCTGGGGAGGGGAGGGGGCTCTGGGACAGCCTGAGCTGGGACCCCTGCCTGGCGGAGAATGCCAGGAGCCTTCTGCTGGCTGTCACCCCCTTCATCCAGGGGGTGGCCAGCCCTGGGGCTCATGGGACTGCAGGACTACACAGGCTCTGCCCTGCCAAAGATCTTAAACTTCTAAATCCAATAGTCTCAGAAATTACATCAGCCAGCCACGTCCAGGACATCAAGTTCTCTGCCTGGCAGCTGGGTCAGAGGGTGCTCCAAGTGGCTTGGCCCAGCTGACAAGGGCTTGTAGCCAGGAGGCCAGTGCAGTGGCCACAGTCCAGAGCCAGCCCCTTCTGTCCCTTTTCCCCATCCCTGCACCACACATGACTGCCTTCAGCAGCTGTCTAGATACCTGCCACAGGCCGTGCGTGGTGGAGAGAAACCCTGTGTATGCCTGGGCAAGTCTACACCGACAGCCCCTGGCACCACCTGCCTCACAGCACACACTCTCTCCCTTTTGTCTCCCATGATTTCTGTGCGTTAATTCATCCTCTAAAGAATCCTGAGAGGGGACTATTACCATTTCACCATTCCAAGTGGTGTTTGCCTCTCCATGCTAAAGACGTTACGGACAAGGAAGCAAAGCTCTGAACTGAAGCAGACAGCTTTAAGTAGTGAGCTGGGATGCACCGGGCACTCTGTGCCAAGGCTGCCCAATGCAGGGTTACACAGCTGGGGAGGGAGCAGCGCCTGAGAGGGTGCTATGATGCGCGGTTACACGGGGGGAGGGAGCAGCGCCTGAGAGGGTGTTCTGATGCGGGATTACACGGGGGGGAGGGAGCAGCACCTGAGTGGGTGCTCTGATGCAGGGTTACACAGGTGGGGAGGGAGCAGTGCCTGAGAGGGTGCTCTGATGCGGGGTTACACGGGGGGAGGGAGCAGCGTCTGAGAGGGTGCTCTGATGCGGGGTTACACAGGGGGAGGGAGCAGCGCCTGAGAGGGTGCTCTGATGCGGGGTTACACGGGGGGAGGGAGCAGTGCCTTAGAGGGCGCTCTGATGAGGGGTTTCACGGGGGGGAGGGAGCAGCACCTGAGAGGGTGCTGTGATGCGGGGTTACATGGGGGGAGGGAGCAGTGCCTGAGAGGGTGCTCTGATGCGGGGTTACATGGGGGGAGGAAGAAGTGCCTGAGACAGTGCTCTGATGCGGGGTTATATGAGGGGGAGGGAGCAGCACCTGAGAGGGTTCTCTGATGCGGGGTTACATGGCGGGGAGGAAGAAGTGCCTGAGAGGGTACTGTGATGCGGGGTTACACAGCTGGGGATTGAGCAATGCCTGAGAGGGTGCTCTGATGCGGTGTTACACGGGGGGAGGTGATGGAGCAGCGTCTGAGAGAGTGCTCTGATGCAGAGTTACACACGGGGGAGGGAGCAGCACCTGAGTGGGTGCTGTGATGCGGGGTTACACAGGGGGGGAAGGGCAGCCCCTGAGAGGGTGCTCTGAGAGTGTGAACAGCCTCCATGGAATGCCCAGACCATGCAGAGGACCTGCTGCACCATCCACGGGGCCATGGCTCACCTGGAGCTGCGGGAGATTTCAGGCTCCAGGACCAAGGAAGGGTGCCCATGACCGAGCTCCCATATCCCCGAGGAAAGTCCCCATTACGGAAACCCTCTCAAGCCCTCTG